GGCCCCGTTTGTTATTTCATATTGTATCCTAACTTCCTTACAGCTGAGTTAACTGTTGGTGTAAGTAATGTCAGCCTTCTTTGGAGAGTCAGATAAATAGCTTCCAAACAGATCCAATTTTTATTCAGGATAGTTTCATAATTTGCTTTGTGATGCTAGTGTGCCGGATTTAAAGCTTAGGTATAACAGTTACCTTGAGTTGTGGAAATATTCCTCCTCAGACTTTTTAGGTGATGTGTACGGGTCTAAAGTTTCAACAAGCCATGCTTCTAATAATTTTGCATTAAATTGTATTAGCTTTAGTTTTGACCTTTAATATTATTCGATCTCTCTTTTTCTCTACCTTTTACTTTCTCTCTTCCCACCCTGTTGATATATTAAAGATGACCTTAGGCCTGAAATATTGTCACACTTGTTTACTCAAGTTAGTTTTCAGTAAAGGAAAATGATTTTTTTTAATTTAGTGATTTATTTAGTTATGTGAGTATGCTTTATTTAATGTAATGTTTCTGTTCAGGTATGTGAAGAACTGTTTTCATTTCATGTAATAACTGTATTGGAAATAAAGTGGCATTTCTGGAACTCTTAAGAACATTGAAGGAATCTCATAAGCTTTTACCAAGGAGATATCATTTTGGACATGCTCTTGTTTTATTGAAGTTTTTATATTTCTGTTAAAATCATGTCTCTTTATAATTTTTAGAGCCTCTGGGGAAGTGAATGTTTTGAGTTGTAAAAAGCAGGCTGAAATACAAATCTATAGTTAGAACACTTCTCATCTTTTGAATGATTGGTCAATTGATCAAGCCAGTCGACAGTGTGTGTGTTTATCATGAGATTGTGGGCAGTCTTATTTTTAATTTTCTTTATACATAAGTGTCAACAATATGAGCCTTTCCTGTCCTAAATGGAAGCTTCATGAAATCTTTGCTATCTTAACAACAGAACTGTATGGTTGTCTTTCTAAGCTCCAATTTTAAGAACTCAGCTTTTCTAGCATTTGACACAGAACACTGGTCAGAAAAAAGGGGACTCGGGTCAGGGGTTGTAGGTTCTTTGACTTTAGTCAAGTTACTTAGTCTGTCTGAAATTTGGTTTCCTAATTTGTTAAAGTAAGGGTTGAATTTATTCTCTAATGTTCTTTGTTAAGCTCAGCCATTGGCTAGGACATCTCTTCTTCTTGGATCCCATAGACTGCTACAGTCAGCTTCATCTACTTCCCCACTAACCCCCAAAATAGCTTCTTATATTCCCTAGTCCCAGGCATCTGTGTTCATTCACCCTGAAACATTGGAGTTGAACTGTGTCTTCCATTTCTAAACATTCTCTAAAATACCATATTTTGCCTCTGGTTCTGTAGAAATGTGGTTGTTTTTTGTTAGTCTTGTAGGATCATGGCATATTGCCCCCTCTGAATACACTAGAACAGGGGTCCCTAACCTTTGGTGAGTTGTATAATTATTTCATTATATATTACAATGCAACAATAATAGAAATAAAGTGCACAATAAATGTAATGCACTTGAATCACCATTAAACCCTTTTCCCCTCCTTCACCCTCCCAACCTCCATCCATGGAAAAATTGTCTTCCATGAAAATGGTCCCTGGTGCCAAAAAGGTTGGGGACTGCTACACTAGAAGAATAGGGAATAGCCCTAATAATGCCTAAATATTATCATCTGCCTTTATTAATCTGAATGCCCCCAAATCTGACAACAGTGGTTCCTGCTCAATGCTCCCCCAGAATTAGCTGTGCTTGCTTAATACAATTATGTCTAAAATGTGAAACTGGGAGGAAGACCTAATTCATTGGGTGCCATAATGAGTGTTCAACTAGATACGCCCATGCCAGAAGAATGGGACAGGACAAAAATAATGAAATTTCGTGGAGATATTTATTGATTTTATAAGTGTAGAAGCCTTGTCTGTGTTGTTTATATCTAGTATACAGAAGAATGCCTTGCCTAGAGTAGACCTTTAAATATTCATTGAATGAATGAATGAATCAAATTACAACTGCTTAACTACAGAATGAAAGTGCTTACTTAACTCTAGGTTTGAGTATGAGAGCACATGCAGAGAATGGAGGCCATTGTGATGTAGTGTCTGAAACCTAGTCAAATAAAACATAGTGGGAAAAGAACAGAAATCTTTACCCAGAGGTTAGAAGGTTTAGTGGGGTAGAGGATTAATTTGTTTAATTATTGAGTATGGCATTTACACTAATGGAGAGATTTTATGGCTTTGTCAGGTACTTTGTTCCTTGAAACTTGAGATGTTCATGTAGGGGATGCATGATCATCTGTCAGAAATGTGGGAGAAGGGAATCCTAAAGGAACAGATAGTTGAACCTGCTGATCTCTAAGGTCCATGTGAGTCCATGGTTCTGTGAGTTTTACTACAAGGGGAATTTGACATGACATGCTGACTGTCTCACAGAGAATAGCGAAGTAGATGATGAAATTTTCTGTCTTTGCTAAAGAAATTGAACTTACAGAGCTTTTTTTTGACAATATCAACATTCTTAAGAAATATCAAAAGATGGAAGTAATTTTGTCTTCTTATTAATAAGAGACAATTAATGGAGACCACAAAAAAGCGATTGTGGATAAGAGAGAGATGGTTGTGAGGGAAGTGAGAAAAGAAAGATCAGTAAGGACATTATTGTGAATTGCTTGGTTGTAGAATATGGGCAGTACATCTGATACATCAGTAACCCTGATAGAGTGTTTTCTTTATTAACACCATGCTAGTGAGGACACTGCAGCCATTAGGAGGAGGGCTTACGTATGTGTGTGGGGAAGTCTTCTAGCACACCTCAGTAACCTCTGATGATATAGATGCGTGTGGTAATTAGTGAAATTATCTTTAACGTGTTGAATTTGAGTCTTCAAAAAATGTTTAAGTCATTTATTCAGCAAAGTGAGGGAGTTTAAAGATGATTATAAACATGTTTTATGATCTTCTGAAATTAGCAGTTTATTGAGGGAGACAGGTGCACAAATAACAATATTATAACTTGCTAAATTTTTTAGAAATTATGATATGAATAGTATGCTGTGGGAATGATCTACTTTGGGAGATTAGAAATGAAGGAGACTGGGTCTTAAAGGATAAACTTTAAAGGATAAGAAGTGCAGGTAGCAGGTACGTAGGAACAATAGGGAGGCAGTATCCTTACCAAGGGACTTAGTAATAAGGTTGCTTTCTAAAAAATAAACTACAAAATTATCAAATATTGTGCAGAGCTCAGATGTTAATTTTTCAGGAAAGCCCCTAGATGAGAACAAGATGGTGAGAATATCGATAGATATAAAGAAATGATGTATCAGTCAAGAGGGGGAGTTTGGACAGAAACTGGATGTGGAGAGGAGGAGAAAGTTAGAGAGATATGCCTCAGCATCCTCCATGTAAACACTGCCCAGAAGAGTGGAACACTCCTACTATTGTGGTTTGTAAATCCCTGATGTGTGGATGGATATGCCAGGCTGCCATTAGCCCGATACCATGTAAACATT